TATATATATATATATATATTTATATTTATTCATTGCTCGGCGAAATGGCGTACAGAACTACAGGATGTACTTTGGTCAGCATTTCCACGGTTAAGTGGCGAACGGTTCTCGCGGTTCGGGAGTCCAGAGCGCGGACTCTGATAAAAACAGAACCTCAGAGGTTAATCAACCATATTAGTATTTTAACCAGTCGTTATTATGTTAATTAAATATCAACCTCACTTATGTCCTAACTTAACCTCTTCGTGCATGTAGGTATCATATGATACCGCAACTAATTTAAGCCGCTTATAAAGCCGCTGTTAAATATTTTTGATCCATTTGTGCACAAAGATATCATATGATACACTTGATAACAACCGTAACATAATATTCGTTCCTATATTCATACTATATAAGAATTTGTAGTCACATGTGTGATAACCTCCTGTATTGATAATACGCAAAAATATACCGACAAAACTGTTGTTATATCTCATCGTTAAAATATTTAAGCTACATCAAAAAATATTTTTTAGGTTTGTTTTTGTATAAGGTACACGTAAGAGTACATGTAAGAGTTAATTTTGATCTTTGACATCTATTATTGTTAGGTAGTATACTCGGTATCATTTGATACAACTGTGCATAAAAGGTACCTACGACTATATTAATAAAAACTATTACCTAGGTAATATTACATTTGTTATAATTTAGTAATAATAAATGGAGAAGTTGAAAGACGATGAAATTGAGTTGTTCTTGGACTTTGAAATACCAAGTGATTCAGAAGTCAGCTTTTGTGATAGTGAAGACGATGATAGTAATGCTGAGAATAATAAAAACAAAAATGATGACCAGGAAGATAATATTGAAAAATTTAATTTATTGCCTCAATATATTAGTAACTTCTTAGGGGATATGAACAATGATATCAGGTTTGAAAATAATAATCCATCTAATGAGCCTGATGGCGTTGTAATAATCGATATAATGATACTCCAGTTTGTCCAGAGTGCATGGAAGACTTCCATAGAAAATAAAGAATGAACTATAATATTTTTTTTTTTTTACTTTGTTTTCATATTTGTTGGGTAACATTTAGTATTGTTTTTATGTTTATTTTGTGTAATTTAGTTATTGTTTACTATTTTTATTATTATATTATCTTCATAAGAAATATTACAAGTTATTATTTTAATTTTATACAGAGTATGAAAGAAGTTTTTCATTTAGTTTTATTTTGTTAGTAACATATTTTTTATTTTATGCATATATTAATTGTATTACTATTATTCTTAATCTATTTATAATCACAAGCTGTGAAAGATTTAATTTTTATTTTATACAGGGTATATTCACAAGCTGTGAAAATATTGTTTTTATTTCATACAAAGTGTTATTATTTTATGTTTGGATTACATTAAATATACAAACATCTTTATAGTTAATCAAGTTGTAGATATCCTAGATATTCCAGGGGGCATGTCCTCCTCCTACCCAATATATTTACCTTAAGTATATAGTTAATGTGTATTTAATAATTTTAATTTGTCAAAATTTAAAATGTATTAATTATAAAAATGCATTTAAAAAAAAAAGTTGTTCCAAATATGCACAGAGGTATCATATGATAACGGGGTTGTAAACTATCTTCACGACATAAGGGTTGGTCCTAGATTTTTTTAACTATTTTTCTCATTATTTATAGCCCAAATTCTATATAGGAGGTTTTTTTTTTTTGAAAATCTAAAAAGTCGTGCATAAAGAGGTGAACAACGGGGTGCTCGTACATACCTACACATATATTAGTAAAACGGATTTAATTTTTTTTATAACCGTACATCGGATGACCCATTCAAAACGTACCCACACTTACGCTAATTGTTCGAAAAACAAACGTATCTTGTGAAAACTCTGTGAACAGTCTCGTGGTCCATGAATCCAATTGCGGATCATAGGTATTTTCAGGGCCAGAGGTGGTCTATGTCTGAAATAAATAGCTAACGATAAACTTGCTAGTGGGTGAGTTAAAACCTCCGTAGTTCGACGAGATATTGCACTACACTTTGTTGTAGAATTTCTGCTGTATATAGCTGTTAATGTAAATCGCCAATTGTATAAACGTACACAGTGGCATGTACCAGGATTTTTCGAGGGGTATCCGCCAGTGGTATAATGTATAATATATAGTTATTTTTTAAAAGTTAATAGTTATAGGATTTCGAATCACTACTATTTAATATTTATTGTATTACCTTATTCAAACCTACCACTGTAAATGTTTCTGTGTTTAGCATTCATTCGATAAACTGAAAATTATTACCAACATTTATTTTTAGATATAAATCACATATAATTTTTACAGTCACGTCTAACATAAAGACATTTTAGAAAGTTATTATACATATTACAATTTTACTAATTTTGTTTTTTCAGAGTTAACTCTATAATAACGTAATCTGTAATAACTGAAATTATACGGTGAATAGTCAACGCTGCTAATCCATTTAATCTACTCACTGATATTGAGTTTCTGAGGTATGTTTTCAGTATTTTTAAAGTTTTTTAAATAAAAAATTCTGTTATAATTTTATTAGGACGTTTACTCATTTTTTGGTGGTGATAATAATATTCGTACAACTGAACTGATATAACATCTATGCACAAACAGTTAAACAAATATTTTATCATCCAGCTGTTGACAACAATAAATCGAAAATATTAGCTATTAGGGACCCACTTATGTGGCATTTCCAGGAGGCGGATGTATTGCCGATTTGTTGATAAAAATAAAAATAAATACACACCAGTGATTATCATTATCATCAAATAATACAGTGAAAACTCTACATAGTGGACAGCCACGGGGAATTAAAAAAGGTACACTATAGGGAGTTGTCCACTATTGAGAAAATCTCTATATAATGGACATTAGCGAGAATTTACTAAATGTCCACTATAAGGAAACACTACAGAGTATAAATTGTACTAAAAAATGAGTATAAAAATGCTTATAAAAATTTTCAATGATTATGTACAATTAAAAAAATCTGTAATCTTATTTCTGTAAATTTTTTCTGTTCTTTACTACGAATATGTAAATTGGCTACCATTGATAATGCGAATATTTTCCAATATTTACCATTGATAATTATCTTCTTTATTTTTAAAATGTGTTTTTAAATTATTTATTGTTTTCCAAACTTCTTTAAACGTTGGATTGCATATCGACTCGTATTCTTCTTCTTCTTATTCTTTTCCTTTTTCGGGCTGCTCGGTTACTTTTTCACTCAAATATTCTAGATTACAATTGACTATATCTGATATTATTAATGTATTGTCTTCTGTAAGGATATTATCAACTATTTAAATATAGTTCTCAATTTTAACAATACTCGGCACAAGTTCTGAGAGTATGTTCAAATTTGCAACATTGTCATGTTCCATTACATATTCTGCTGTATCAGATGAAAAAAATCCTGACTTTTTAAAATAATTTTTGGCAGTCTCTGGTTTTATATTCTTTAATGCGGACTTTATCCAAAAAAATTGCTTTTAAAACGTTTATATATTTGTTTTCTACATTCTGATCAATTCTAGATAAAATATGACAAAGTAATCATTGGCAATAATGAACTCTAAAATTTTGAATTATTCTTCGATCCAGTGGTTGGTAAATCAAAGTTGTATTTAGAGGGAGAAATATTAGTTTTATAATTTTTAAGTTTAATGTATCAGGATGTGAGGCAGCATTATCTAGAAATAAAATAATTTTTCTATTTTCTATCTCCATTTTTCTGTTAAAACACATTAGCCAGTCTGTCATTAAATCTCAATTTATTCATGCTTTACGGTAAGCTTTCCAATTTTTCCAATTTTTCGAATAGGAAAACCATTAAGATAAGATAATTTATGGACGAATGTATAACAGATAAATATAGTATTTTTATTACTTAAAAATCGTTTTCGATATGTTCATGTATTGTGTCCATTTATGAGAGGTAATTTTTAATTTAGTACCCGTTTATTGTATCCACGTCCACTATCAGGATTGTCCACTATTAAGAGGTATAACTCCTATTATGTGCATACGTTTTTGCCGGGGAATTTAGAAGTTTCCACTATTGGGAAGGATCCACTATTGAGAGGTGTCCATTAATAGAGGTTTCATTGTATTAGTTTTCACGGTTGTAATCAGGGGCGGACTTACTATTTTTCCGCCCCTAGACGGATTCTAAGACTGGCGCCTCGTAACCCACAAAAAATAAAAATACATTGATATAATCACATTCAAACACTTATCTTTTATTTTTCACAAAATATTTTAATAACCAATAAAATAAAAACTGTAACTTTATAACAATTGTATTTTGTATATTGATACACATACCAATTAAAACAATTATAAAATAATAAGTCAGTAAGTAATAATATAATTAAATTGGTGTATAATTAAATCATTTTGCGTCTTGATTTATCTTTAGCAAAATTATCTATGATTTCATCATATGATAACTGACGAGTTATTTGATTTTCAATATTGAGAATTGCAAGTGAATTGAACTTTTGTTGGGTCAGGGTGGAACGTAAGTAATTTTTTACTCTTTTTAAGCATGAAAACGATCTTTCTGCTGAGCAATTTGTAACAGCTGTGGATGTAAAAATACGTAGTACTATTTCTATGTTTGGATAAATATTTGTTAGGTCTTTTTCATATAGAAATTTTTGAAGTCTAAGCAGATTGTGTTTTTCTCCGATAGAACTTAAATTGATGTGAGCTTTTAAATGTAAAACTTCATTTATAAAGTCGTTAAATTCTACATCATTTATATAAATGTTTTGCAGGAATTTAACTGATTTTCTGATTTCTTGATTGTCTAATTCCTTAAGTCGTGTTAAAAATATAAATGGTTTATAGAAAATATCATATGCATGTCGTCTAGTTTCTAATTCTCGAAGCAATTTATTTATGATAGGAAAAAATGTATGTATTTTAAAATTGTCTCGTGCCGATAAATCTATTCTTCAGATTCAGATTCATCGTGAAAAATCGTTCTTTTTTTTTTTTTTCTTGTAGTATTTATTTTGTAATCTTTATTAACTGCTTTTGCTAATGCTTCTGTTTCAAAATCATCAAAATTTTTACGAGTGTGCTCTATTAATTTAATTAAACTATCATATAATTGAAGAACGTCCAAATAATCAATATTAACATTTTGTAACTTCTTACTCGTAGTGTTTAATCGACTAAGTAAAAAACTGACGTAGTTGTAGTTTCTAATGAACTCATTTTATTTATTAGTCCTTTTGCTTCATTTCTAGTTATATTATTTTCAGTGTGATCATCCATTATATAAGTTAATGTAGCTACAACAGCAGACCAATTTTCATTTAAACTCAGGCAAGCAGAATCTCTTGATGACCATCTCGTATTCGAAAGTGCTTTTAATGTATGTGATTTCGACCCCATATTATTGAGGATATCCCATCTATGACTACTGCTTGAAAAAAATACATAGATGTTTTGCATTAGTCCAAAAAATGTAGCTGCTTCATTACAACATTCAACTCCATCCGTACCAACAAGATTAAGTGAATGAGCTGCGCATGGAATATAAAATGCCAAAGAATTTATATTTTTTATCCTGCTTGAAGGCCATTATAACAACCTGTCATATTTTTTGCTGTGTCGTATGATTGTCCACGACAATCTGATACATTTAATTTTAAATTTTCGATTGTCTTAATGACTGTTTCGGCTATTTCCAAAGATTTATGTCCAACTTTTGGTATGAATTCTAAAAATCGTTCGATCGGTACACCTTCATTGCTGACATAGCGAAGTATAAAAGCAAGTTGGTCAGAATGTGTTATATCAGGCGTAGAGTCAATAAATATTGAGTAATATTTACGTTTTTTAATATCATTTATGATTACTTCTTTAACTTTTTTGACCATTAAATTAATAATTTCTTCACAAATTGTTGATGATAGATATGAAGTAGAACCACTACCAGAATGACCATATTTCGAAATGTGTTGAGCTAAGAAAGGGTCAAATTCGGATAACAATTCAAGAAGCATCATGTAATTTCCATTTTTAGGTGATCCAAAAATTTCTTCTTGTCCTCTGAATGGTAGTCCACGTGAAGCTAACGTTTTAATTACAGATACTACTCTCTCTAAAACTTTTCTCCAATACATTTTTTCATGGTCAATTTGAATAAATAACTTAGAGTCTATTCTTCCTTTTTCTTGTCCTAAATGTTTCAATTTTAGTAAACATGTTTTGTGATTTAACGACCCTTCATGTTCTTTAAAACGTATATGCGCATTTTTCCAATCATTAAATCCACAATTAGCTAAATTGGAAAATTCATTTTTAAATAGCCAACACGGTGCGCAGAAAACTTTTCCTAATTTACGAGAGTAAACAAGCCATGAACGTGGAGTTTGATCACCATTTGGTAATTTTGAAAAAAACATGGATTTATTACAATATCTTACATTATCTAATGAATATTGATTTTTTGATTCAATAAAATCGTCGTTGTTATTTTGATCTATCCCATGTACTGCGCAAAATTGTATAAAACTCGCAGTACGTGACCAATCTGCTAGATCTGTTGGAAAATGCATAACTTCTTCTATTAAATTCTCATCTTGTACTTTCATCAAACTGTTACAATTATATTTATTTATTTCATTGGCATTTACTCGTACATCACATGAATCAACCTAAACATTTTATATTTTTGTTGTAATAAATTTAGTAATAAAAACCGTCACGGGTAAAGGTGGAAGCTCCTTTATTTGTTTAAAATAAGTTATTTTTGGATCATATGACCTACTCACATTATTATTAATATTTAATTTACACATAGCCTTTGTTAAATAATGTACCTAAATTAATTCATTCTGAAAGTCATTATTATAGTATCCACTGCCGTCTCGAAATTATTATGAACGCCGATCAGGCACGTAGCCAGGATATAAATTTTTTGGGTGGGTTTATACATTAAATAATAGTTTTTCATTCAAAATTTGGTTACCCGCGGTGGCATCGCCCCAATTACCCCCATTTTAACCACGACAGATCCATTTAACTATACGTACATATTATTACCCTATTTTGTTACTAGTGTAGATTTATAAAAAAATGTATAAGCAAAACACATATTCTTATTTCTATATTATAATGTACAAAATAAAATATAATATTTTATTATTATTTACATAAATATTAACATTAATATAAAACAATATTTCTATTTTTATGATTATTAGACGAGGGTGCGTAGAATAATATAAAGTATATAAAATTTTACGCATAAAAGTATAACTTTATGTGATCTACGGCACGCGTGTATGAACAACGAACGTACCTACACAATTTCCTGTAGTTTTTGTTTGGTGTGATTTTTGTTTTTTTTTTAAACATATAAATATTTTCATTAAATTATAAGTTTCATAACCAGATAACCTAGATCGGATCGCATTAATATTAATTTTTTTGCACATAACTTGGAATCCTTGGATACTGATGTCATAGTAATCGAGTTAGAACTGTCTTCAACCAAATTTTTTTCATCTTCGTTTTCAGTTTTAGACTGCTCAATACTTTTGTGAACTATATTCTAATAAAATTATAAGTTACAATGTTTATAATAGAGAAGAGTGAAAAAAATTAATAGTAATAATTAATAAGAAATAACTAATAATTAAAGATCACTTATTATTAAGTATACAAATTAAGAGAAGAGGGTTTTTGTAATTTATACATACGTTGCATAAAATCCCATTAAGTTTTCTAGTTTTATTTATCATATCTTGATGTTTGGCAAACTTTGCTTATCGTATTTTTTTAAATTAATGACCACTTTTTTTACTTGACATCTTTGATGTTTAAAATGTACGCACGATGGTTGATAAACATCAATTGCCACAAAATTCACAATTTCAAAAATAATCGGTAATGTAATAATGTACAACTCATTTAAGTACGTAGGTAATAGGTATATTAGTATTTTATAGTAATCGGTTTTCTCTTATCTGAGTAAATGTCACGGCGCGGCGTCGACGGCGTCGCGATCGTAGCGGTGGCTATTATTATTTATTATTCTTATTATTGTCAAAAACGTAACATTTGATTTCTAGAATTATATTCTTATATTTGATGTGCATACCTTGCGTCCTTGCCACACTGGGTTTTTTTTGTCGTTTGAACGGTTTTATCTATGGCTAAGCTCATATAAAACATAGATTGTTAAACTATAATTTATTATTATATATTATAAATTATTAATAAAATTAGAAATACAATATATTAAAAATCTGCGGCGCCCCCGAAACATGTTGCGCCCTAGGCACGTGCCTAGGTTGCCTATGCGTAAATCAGCCTCTGGTTGTAATAACATGTTTATTTTCACGATAATTGATGATACATTTCAGAATTTGTTCATGAAATTCAAGGAGGGTGTCCAGACACCTAAAACACCCCCTTGTTTGCGCACTGAACGTACATATAATATACGGTGTATTACAAAATCAAGCTACGTCGTGTACCAGGTGCCAGTGTATTAATATATAAAGGGGCACATCCGAATTCTGCTGTGCGAGGCAGGAGTTATACATTTAATACTTAATCGTGTAACTTGTAATAATTATGTAAAATAAAACGAGTTGTCTCTTTAGTGTGAACTATTTCGGCAATGAAACGCAAATAGTTTTAAAATTAAAAATGTTAACTACATTATTATAATATTGTCAAGGATACGGGATGGCCAAGCGGAATAACCGTGATAGTACTGACGCGTGTGCCACCCCGGTTAGGTTCGAATCCTCCCTGAGCTGTCTCTGAGAATAAAAGCTGCCTAAACCAAAAGCATTCGGTCCATCTTCCCTGTGCAGAATAAATAAATGAGAAACTAATGCGCTGTAGAATTTCCGTTGTACACAACGTTTGTTTGCGTTGTTCCAAACAAGTATCCATAAATGCTGTCCGCGTAAAATGTGGGTATGTCCAATAGTCGTGTTCGGCAGACATTATTTACGTACCACTGTAGGTATTAAATGAATGGGTAAAATCATGCACGCACAACTTCCGAAATGTCTCAAAATAAATTGCAGTGTTCAGATTTCATATTGGAAATAATATTATTTATTCGCTATCGAGTAAAATATTGTAATATTATCTTCTATACTACACTTGTTATGATACATAATGAATATTTCGGCTAAAAATTATTCATTTTATTACAACAACAATAAATCATTAATCACTCCATATTTATTTGGTTTATAATTTAATAATCGCTCAAACAGCATTATTATTGTAATACTTTTTTTTATTAGTATAAGAAAATAAATCGAAGTGATATCATATTATTCGTATTTTCTTTAATCTTGTCCAATGCACATGTCGTACAGCATACACGTAATATGTGTATTTTAGAAATCATAAAACGATTCATTTGTAATTAAAAACTTGTACACTTGAAGATGATATACGCAATGTCGAGTTATAAATTAGGCAAACACTTCAAGGCAGTGATTCTTATCCTTTTTTCATTCATGTCACCTTTAGCCACTAGAATTAAACACCGCGTCACCCTAACATCAAAATAATAAATAATCTTAACTGTGTATTTTAGAATAATTCTTGAAATAACAAAAACAATAAAAACAGAAGAATAATAACAGAAGAAAACAGTAGAACACCTTCAATTTATTGAGATGCATTGTTCAATAAACATTGATATTATAAAGTTTATACTTAAAATTAAAAAAAAAAAAAAAGAGAAAATTTTTTAAAAATTTTTATACTTATTTGTTTTATTTGTATATAATAATAATACTACATATCTAACGACTGTAAAATAACTAACGACCCCGGTTAAGTCGATAAAAAAATCGATAATACATCGATTTTGCGTTAATTACAATACTGCACATATTCATTGGATCTAAATAATATAAAGATGTAAACTTAAAGGTATGATATTTACATGACTGTTGTGGTAATAATATGGTTTTATTAAAATTAATTTTTTTCTAATTTTTTTCCTTTTCCTGTGGAGATTTCGTATCACCCCTACACTGTGTCCATGTCACCCTTGGGTGACATGTCACCCCGGTTGAGAACCAATGCTTCAAGGCAATGTAGTCTCGTCTTTTTTTAAGGTTCCGAAACAAGTTCTATAAAAATTGATGTCTGCTTTTTCTTGAAAATCCTAGTTAATGGTAAAACCAAAATTTAATTATTATATCATTGCTTTTGATTATCCGAATTGTGCGGTATAATTAGGTTAACCTAATTTGTTAGACTGTCTGGTAAGTGTACGTCGACTGCAATCATTGCATACGGCTCATTAGGATAAGTTACAATAGATTTTATAATATATTAAATTTCACAACCCAATTTTTGCATGAACGAAATCATATGAAAATTTTACGCTCCTTAAATGAATATGAGTAGTATAATATTAATGTTGTAATATTATTTTCTATATTTAATGCACGTTTTTTAATCCAATACGTAATCCGCACTCATTATTCTTATTATTAACTAAATAATATTTACATATCATTCACTCATATACTCATTCATTTGCTCAATGATTTTCTTACAGCCAATATCATATCGTACCTAATACTTATTTTTTTAGGCTCACCAAGAAAATAATTTTTCGATAATCGCATCAGAGTTCAAACAGTTTTGGGTTCTGGGTTAGATGTATGAATGTTTACATTTACCCCTAGAAAGTAATTTATTTTTTTTAATATGTTGAATTGAATAATTACTGATTTAGGTATTTATAAACCAATGTGATACATATAAATGATAACATATAAATTAGTTAAATTATACATCGTTCGAGTATTATAAATTTTTCAGTCAATAAATTCAACAAATTGCTGCATGTGATCAAACTCATTTTACTACAGTATAAGATATTACACCAGTATAATACACTGAAGGAATGGATACAGAATTCTATCACACTCCCTCGTTCTCAAAAAAATCCCTCAGGATTCGATGCGTTTTAGACATCACTGCTATTGGTGTTCATATAATACGCCAGATTTGGGACACTATCTGTATAATATACATCTATTGCGCCGATATAAAATAGGTATACATAAAAAGGCGTCGGAGAATCTTTAACCATACTGAAAAGGTATATAGGTAGGTTAGTTATTTAAAAGATAATTTATAATTTTGGTAAATGACCATTTCTTTACCATGTTCACTTAAAACTATTTCCGTCATAAATTTAAGCACGAGCCACGACTACACGTACAACACTTGGAATTGTACTGAACAATACTGTAAATTTATCTTACAAACATATAATATTTATCCACGTTTTATTCTATCTTCATATAATAAAATAATATTATGATAAAAATAATTGTTTTCAAACGTATCTACGAGCACAACAACATAAACACATTTATTACCAAAGGTACAACACTGCTGATCTGTAAGTTCTAAAATCAGTGGTAATAGTATTATACGCGTTTATATATATATATGTATGTAGGAATAGATTGGCGCAATTCACATACAACATTATATTACATTCGAATAACACTTATTGGCACAGTTGATGTACACCTTTTTCCTACACCAAAATTTATCTTTCTTCACCTACGATTTCCGGCGCCATTGATACATGTCCCCTGCCACCGCTTAAAATATATAGTAAGCCATGAACTTAAGCTGGGGGCATAGGCATGCACAGACTTGTATGTCAAGGGTTGCTGACAATACTTTTGGGCCCTATCTTAACAAAACGCGTAGATATATTTAATAAATCATAATGTATAAATAATGAAATAAACATAACTTTAATTTTATATTGAATATTGTGGTATATTAATCCCAAAGAACATTTTTTCTCGGATAGCTTAAATCATGTTGTAATTTTACAGTCAATTGTAGATGTTATATTATCATAAAAAATCTTTGCACGAAAATGTAGGACATTTTGTTTTATTGTTCCTATTGTGAAACATCGCTTACTTTTTACCAAATGATTTAGAATAAATTATATTTAATTTGAGCCAAATCAGTTAAAATACGGGCCCTTTGTAGTCCGAGACTTAAATTGTAGGGCCCCGTTTAGAACGTTTTGGAAGGTGCCCGGGCACACCCGGCATCTCCCGTGCGTACGCCTAAGGCTGAAGGTAATGTACCTTTTGAATTTAAACCGGAAGTAACTGACCCTTTGAATTTAAAAAATATCGTTATATCGGTCAAGACCAGCCCTGCTGCAACCGTGCGGTAATCGATGCATATGTTATATGGTGTTTGATGCTATCGGTGGAATATCGTAATAATTATCACCGTACTACTAAAATACGTGCATGTCACGCGTATCAGCCGATGTGCATTATACCATACGTACGTTTAGCTAGGACTTGTCCTAACGACCGACCGCGATAGATAAATGGATAATTTAAATGGTTATTAAATATAATTCGTACCAATGTATTGTTTACGAGTACACCGGTGTTGCTTGCATTATATTTTATTAAAGTCAATAAAACGTACTATAGCGATGTGTAATTATAAACGAGATGGTTTGAATCGAGAAAGCAAATGCGTATAATAATAATAATGTTAATGAATACAACTAAATATTATCTAAATAAAACGAATATGGAAATCAAACACTCAACCGTGGATGTTCGGTGTGTACATAATTTTAAAGTAGAACGTGTACGTGTGTAATTGATATAATTTAATTGCGACTATTATCGAAAAAAAAAATAATAATTAAATAAATAAAATGTAACACGAATAGAATATAGATATATTATACGTGGATCTCGTCATAGTTGTGCATGTTGGGCGATCGACGGTCGGCCCATCATGTTAATATGGTCGTCGATCTCCATCCGTCGCATATGTTCAAGACGTGGACATCCGTTCGCACATCGCGATCCGTTGGGCTTCGTTCTGTGGAAACGATAAAACAAACAAAAGTGTAAATCGAGCGTGAAAGCTGTGGATGGCTATTGGGTGATGCTGGAAACCGTCGCAGTGACTTCTTTTCGGATGCGGAATAGAGTGATGGGTGTAAAAGTCGGCACAAAACCTGGTATCTTCCAGGATGGAGGTGAAGAAATATACATTAACTATTTTTAATTTTTATAACAATATGCAATAAATTATTAAGTACTCATAACGACAACAAATAATATATAATTAATCAAATCTAGTTTTCAATATTTTTATAAAACTAAACAAAAAAACTTCAAATTTTATAAAAATTAACGTACGAATAATCTTGAGTTCATTTTTATCAACTGAAAAAATAAAACGCCACGTCGCAGGTAATGTTATTCTCTTTAAAACCAAATAAAAACGGACACTTTACTACGAATTGACGCATGAATGGTTTTGTTCCGTGTGAAACATATTTCTACGCTTAAATTACTGTTATTTCACGTTCAATAACAGAAGTACAAAACCTCCACGAATATAAATGATTATTATTTTATTGTTTAGTTGTACTGCGTATTCTTGAAGCCGGATTTTTTTTTTTAGATTGAGGAAGAGGGTTAGGAGGTTAATCTTAAAAAAAATTAGGGCTCTCATATAATGGGATTTTTTGTGCATTATTATGTTAAGCTTATTAAAAATATTTATTTTATTTTATTTAAAGTTAATTTAAATTATAAATCATAACTTGAATAAAAATCAAAAATATTTAAACTTTTTATCGAAATCTTATCATGTTATACTTCAGCATCTACAAAAATAAATAATACAAGAAAAATAGCAACAAACGTTTACCTAAGCGTAAAATATCTAGTGGATTGACGATATACTCTAGTTATACGTTCAGCGTGTATAATGTTAAACAAAGCTTGACAGTTAAAACTTGTGAAAACTAACCGAATGCTTAAATGCTAGAATAGCGATATCAAGGAAAATTGTATTCGATCATAATAATGTTATATTTTTTTCTTTCACGACTTTTTTCAGAAATAATTATTTTAGTTTGGATTATTCGCGAATAATTTGCTTAAATCGCATAATGGCAACTGCAGAAATAAAATAACTTAATTAAAACGATTTAGTGTTTACCAAAAATATTTCAAGCAGCAGATTAAAATGAAAAAATATCAACATATAATATAATATAATATCTCAACGTGTGCGAGGCGACGGTTTTACAATCGCTTGTTTGTTTTAGTCAAACCGTAACGATATAAATACCAGTTGATAAACGCGATAAGCAGTATAATATGCATAATTATGTAAAAATATAATTAAATTTTTTTTTCGAAGTTCGTCCATTTCACGTGTCGGATTATTATAATTTGGACGGGGGTTAAAAATTAATTATATTTTAAAAATATTTCGTGATGCTTACTGTTATACTTGTGACGACCGGTATGGATTCGATAACAGTCTTTGTATTTAAGAGTACCCAATTACGGGGCTTTAAATAATTTTTTTTCTAATATCTTACCTTATAAAACTAATTCGCTTTATGTTCTATGAATTTTATTGCCTTTTTACGTATGAATAAGTAGCATATTTTCGCGATTCAAATTTTTTATACCCGATAATAATTGGCCCACAACCGATACAACTGATCACCGATAGAAACAGACTGTGTAAATGAAATATTTTCTAGATGGTTTAATCGATATCACGAATACGAATGATACTGACATAGTTAAATTACAAGAAACTAGAGAATTTTAAAAAGCACAGAAAAAGAAAAGTAGATAAAAATATCTGTGGGCGCGTTTGATGTAAAATTATTAAAACTTTAAAAAAAAATAATTACTGAATATTTATACACTTTTTTTCTAAAAAATAAATTAAGTGCGCATATTGAAATCGAAAATTCAAAAATATTAAGCTGTAGTCAGAAAAGTAAAAAGAACAAATAACACAAACATAATGTTCTAGAAAATAATTACAAGATCTTCCTTAAAAATATAATTAATCAAAGTGTTGTTTTTGAATGACTTTTTGAATCGCTTCGAATAGAACGACACATCCATATATATACAAACGAATTGTGCCCTAAATACGGAATTGTGCCCGGTGTATTTTTTCGGGTTACACGAATTATATTCCGAAAAATCACAAATTGATACATTTTTCAATTAAAATATTACCCATATATTATGTATACAACATTTTACACAAGAATAAAAGTTGTTTTGTTAATTTATAATAATAATTGATAGTATTTGAAAAAATAATAATATCTAAAAAAGTATGAGTAAGTAAATAATAACGATTGTAGATGTACAATGACAATCTTTGTAGCTCTACGCACACCTTATCACTACACATTTCTGGATTTGAATTTATAAAAACATTTTTATTTCAATCTACGAAAAAACATATTATATCCCTGTGTAAAATATCAATTTAAATTTACCTCACTTTTAGGGACACAACTCGTGTACCAGCATTTCTTCGGGAAACAACTCGTTAAATGCGATATACGCTGTTGCGTACATATTTTTAAATGACGCACACGCCTAGTGTATAGTAAATATATCATTGTTTGACTGTTGTAAGCAAAATTTTGAATGACGGTTGGAACGATAAGGGATTAAGCGCCTATAAGAAGTCGAGGACGCGCATAAACACCTAAACACCTCGAACAGAGAGAAATCAGATCACGGAGAAGTGTTCTCCTCGGAAGACGCGCACGCTGTAGACACAATTATAGCCGGAATGTACACGGTCGACGGGGTGGTAATGAGATGAACCGAGAGACGAGGGACAAGAAAGAAATCGTGTTTGCTATAAACGCATAAGATGTACGCAGATGCACAGGCAAAAACACGTAAACAAAACGTGTAAGCGGACGAAACATTTCGGTACGCGATACTACCCCAGTTCGATAAACGTAATATTTTGAATTTACACCGCGACCAAGATGTTGCACGTGTACCGAGCACTTATCTGGAATCGATCGATTCTGTACGAGTTATAACGGTTGCTTAAGAGGACGTTGTGAGTTGTTTCCGTCTGACATATGTACAACATAGCAAATTTGCGTTCAGTGATTCAAATGTAGTGATGTTAGCTTTAATATTAGAGTAAACTTATTTATAATCAAACTTTAAGGGAAGACACGGGCCTGTGTTTTGTTGGTCGGTTTTTTCCGATATTTTAATTTTTTTAGCGAGTTATGATGTTTCTTTAAATGTTACATTACTCATAACACGCTTAAAAATTGTTACATTTGAATCACTGAACTCAAATCAGCTATGTTGTACGTATTGCAGACGGAGACAACACATGCGGGTGTGACGTTCTCTTAACCGATCCCTGGGAAGTTGACCCTCGTGGCCCCGGCCCTCTACTGCCGTTCTAGTCCTGATCGCTGTACGACATCGACCTGCGAGGTGTTCGCGTGCGCGTGCGTTTACGCGAAACAACGAAATAGTTCACCTGGACCAGCTTGTAGATGTAAATGAGCGTATCCATTGACTTGCACTCGTCCGTGGCCTGCACGGATGCCGGCGCGTTCCTCTTGCCCTGGCCCCACGTCGGCGTAAAGTTCACCTGAGCGGTGACGATGCACGCGCACAACATGAACACGGCCAACAGCAACAGGGTACGCATGTCGAGCGAACGGGTCCTCTGGTCGTTTCCTGGTTAGAAACCGCGCGACTTCCGCCGGACAGTGGTGGACCGGTCCGTTAACAGCGATGCACCGCGTTCGCGGACCTGACCTGTGTGCACACAAAAACATGTGCGCAACATTTGAAATTATTAATCTCTTGTTTCCGTGCGCGCGATGATCGAGGCCAAGGACGGCGGATAGGACGAACTGAGAGGGAGGGGGAAGAGAAAAACAGTTGAAATAAAACCATTTTTAGATGTGAATTTACCGCTATATACGTTCGTCCGGGCGTACCGTGTAACGTGGAGCTCGGAGAGTTGCTGCGGCGTGACCGGGGACGTTCGCCGGTGCGATTTAAATGAGTGCGCGGCGATAGCGGTCCGCAGGTTGGTCGGCGGTGGCGTAAAGTGATCGGTGACCGCGAAAAGATTCGAGTCAGACAAGTGATGGCCGACGGTGGCAAAGCGCTCAGCTTTTATAGCCCCCCCCCCGCCAGTCCCCCCCCACGCCTACGCCTCCGCAACCCCCCCGCCCCCTCCCCCCCCCCCCCCCGCCCCCCCCCCCCCGACGCCTACGCCTCCGAAGAAACCCGACGACGACGCCGCGCAACGTACGTCATACACGCACGCACGTATGGGCATGGCCGTGCGAAGATGTTCTTTTCTCGTTCCGTTCGCAAAACGCGCGTCACACGCGCGCGCAGGTTCTTTTTGCAAACGAATTGTTTGCGCGTGCAAAGAAAAGAAAAAATTCCGGAAAGAATTTTTTCCGTCGTCCAAAACGAATCGGTCGAGCCAACGAAACATACCGGACAATACTCGGCACGATTTCCTTTCAGACGCGTGAACCAGGGGCGTATTTAGACCGACTTATTTTTATGGCAGGGGGGGTCTCAAATTTTTTATTTAATTCAGGCACAACATTTACAAGTAAAATTGTTGATAATATTTAAATAAGGTGAATCCTTAATGTTTGTGGTCCTTTTTTTTTTTTTTAATCTAATGGCGATTACGCTTAGAATCGACTTCTGTATAGTTCTTTTTTAACACCTGTCTGTGTTTTGAAAGTGACGCTTGTGTTTTATTTGATTTTTCACTAAATATGGACCAGAAAAAAAGCTCAATTCACTATTCACAGCCACGCGTAATTTGATATCGTTATAAAATGATCCACATTAAAAAAATTTGAATCGCGTATCTCACATGTATTCAATTCTTTAAATACGGATTCAGGGGGGCGATATCCCCTTCGCTCTCCCCCCCTAAAATTCGCCCATGGCATGAACGCGATATTTTACGTATTGTAATGGAATAATAGATATTATAAAATATAACATGTGAAAATACAATGTATTCAATAGGTTTTAACGGTTATTGGCTTTAGTTACTGCACCTCGACGGTTTTAGTATAAATTAAGATCGTAGTTAACAAAAACATTTGCAACGGTGCACACGGAGGGAGGTAAAAAAGTGAAACATTATGTTGAATGTTTCTCAATATTTCTGCATATATCCTTACCTAATTCCCTAATCTAGTGAATTATTATAAGCACACCCTCCCTTAAGAATCCTAATCAAGTGCATAGTATGACAAAAAGCGAAAACATTATCATATAATAATACTGTAGGTACATAAAGAGTATAAGTTTTACGTTTTAAATTGGTAATTTCGGTTTAGAAATGAACTGAAGTTTTATAAACACAAATCGTAGCCAAAATAAATAACAGAAAGCAATTTCGAATTCTGACCAACGTTTACATACATCTTAAAGTGAAAATTAAACTGATTTTTTCGGTGTTCAAGAAACATTTTAATAAATTATGAGGGGAGGGGGTAAAATGTTTCTAAAAAAAGTGATTTTATAATATTATAAATATAACATATAAGATATGAATTAATAATTATATTTTTATACAAATTTTACAACCACATGGTATTGATTATGTTCTCTTATCCTATACTTTCGTATCAAATCGTTTATAACTTTTGAACCTTTTTTTTTCTTCTGGAGGGGTCGAACCCAGGATTTTTGTTTTTGAAAATATACACAATATACCAGCTGCAGTACCCGACATTTATCGGGAAATATTTGACAGTGTATTTTTTGGATAAGAACAAATAATACTTCGATGTGAAAAAAATTTAGGTTTAAAAAAGCTCTAATCTATATTCTGATAGTATATACTTATATTTATTTTTACCTTATTGATTTACAAAAATCTTAATAAGTAGTTACTAAAATCAACATATTTAACAGAATAAAATACTTTCTATTCCTTTAATATTTCCTCGAAATTTTAAATTAATCAGTATAGTAGTTTTTTGCTATACACCGAGTGACACTGAGTGAATGGTATTTAAATTATATTTATTAATACATGGATTACAATGTAAAGATATACACAAAACGTAACGAACTATTCAATTATTGTTTTAAAAATAATTTTGAACACATTGATTCGTTCAAAATTATGTGTTGGTTAGTTGAAAACATACGTTTTGTTTGCTATTATTTAATATTTTCACACATTGTTATGTGACACAATAACAACCGTACACCGTGATATGTAAACGATAAATTGATATTTAAGCTTGTACGGTCTCCAGGTGAACTGTACCAAGGAGAAATAACAGTGAACAATGAAAAATTAAATAAGGTTCTCCATCAAGTAACGATTTATGAATAGGTTATTGTACCAAAAAAAAGTATGTTAACGATATCCGTGGTACGGTAGGTACAGAAAACATTGTGTGTAACCACTTCATAAAAACACTACTCTCACGTGATCCCTCTGATTTTCAACTGTAATTTATTACATCCGTAAACGTAGGGAAGCTAAGCAATCTATAACTACCCTCCGAAATTAATCCTAAGACCGTTCGGAACATTTCTAGTCCTTATATGTCTAAACGTAAGTGAATTTTTTTTTTTATTAAATTGTTAATACGTCTTCTATACTCTATATATTTATTTTTATTTATTTAATTTCATTTTTGACACATTAGTTACAGTAAAAGACGACGGGCGTTTATAATATAATTTAATTATAAGAATACAATTTGTACTATCTTCTGCTGTAGCCTCATGTAAAACAGGTTATATTATTACTAACATATAGTGTCAAAATATGATAATTATAAAAATATTCAAGCGATGAAATGGTGCTAGTAATGGAAAGCAAGCAGAGCCTCCCCTACACGAAACATATATTAACCATAGAAATGTGGGTACACGCCCACGGTGTTTCTAATGTATGAAATAAAAATTAAAGAACTCAATTTGTTTCACTTACACGGAGCAACGTCGTTGATTATTTTTCGCTCGTGACTCAATGGTATCGTGAGGAAGATATGGGAAAATTGAACCGCGAAAAAGTTCAGTTCTTCATACTGAAAAAAAACTAAATTAAACGTATTACGAGACCCGTGAAGTTATTTTTTGTTCTTAAAATATTCTGTTATCTGACGTTATTTACACTTGCTTTAATACTGTACGCGCTGCCACTTTGTTTTGGAACTGCAAAAGATATTGAAAAAAGATACTGCAAAAAATATTGTATACAAACTTATAATATAGTAATCGCCGAACATTAGAATCAAGACCATAGCCAGAAAAAGATTTCAGGTCGGTTTTAAAATATAAATATGTTTTTTGACAAATAAATTTTAATATTTCATATGATATATAGGCATTTAAAATCATTCAATTAAACTTTAAGAAAAAATTACGGCTACAGCTTTAACTGAAATAATATTTATAGGTTCCGGGTCGAGGAAATTAAAATGTTTGTTACTCAACATTTAATTTATTTTTACGTACAATTGATGAAAAAATATTTTTTGTCACAAGATTGTACACATTGACAAAACTTATGTTAAAAATGTAATAACTGTAATCAATATGTGGTCTGAATCACGTTTTTTCACCATCCATTAATAATACTAATAATTAATAATGTAATATCTATTGTACGAATTTAAATTTAAATTGGACGCATTGCAAATAATATGGCTTAATGATTAATGAATAAATCACAAGTGTAGTGTATAAAAAAAAAAAAAAAAAATGTATTATGGGACATGTATTCTACATACTATAAAAAAAAAAAATCATGGGAGTATAAATTTAAAACCGATTGTTCAAGTGAAACTGTTGCTTACATAGGAAATGCGTGCTCACGGGTTTTTATAACTCTCCAATACACCTAAAATTTTACGATTTTTTGTGCAATTATTCGAACAATAATTTCCTGGTATTTTCTACGAAACAATTACCAATACTAAATGTGAATTATATTGTAAAAATTTATTTGGGCCCGATGACATTACGTGTAATATGCATATTTTCACTTTTCAGTACAAATTAGTATGCTAATTATTAAAATCTAGGTTTTGGGAATGTTTTAGCTGACTAGGGATAATTTGTAAGGAATGCTTCCTTTTACTTCTTTAATTGTACATACCTACTCATAAAATACCACAGTTCACAAAAGTCTTAAAAGGAGTTGATAATATACCAGAACATTTTGTTGTGAGCCTCTAAATTTACATTCACACACGTGAAAGTTTACTGTGAAATTATCACACTGTATGATGTACCCATGAGCTAGGATCACATTTTATACGTTACCATATTCAAAATTTGTTTCGAGCTTAAGCGCAGCGGTAGGGGGGGAGTTCTTCTAGTTTTTTCTACCAAACTAAGATATCCATCCCAGTGAAATTATCCATCTCTACCCGAGTAGTCAAATTATGGAATGTGATTAATGCATGCAGATGAGGACAACCTGACTTGAGGCTTACAACCACACATACATATATGTATATAATTAGGCTGCACCTGAGGTAAAAGTATGCACGCACCAACGAATAGTAGATATTTATCAAAAGTACAACAGGTGCAGTAAGTTTACGTTGGTCCTCGTAAATTTTTCGTTGTAACGAACTATAAAAATATTTACATAATTACGGATCATGACATTTTAAGTGTAACCATATCATACGCTTTAAGTTCAATTTATATCCGCACAATGGAAGGGACCAAAAAATAATATTTTGAAATTATTCTTGTATACCTGGACGTTTAATGCATCCTTCGCTGTTAGTACATGAATCGATACGCTTTGTGGACTTGTTATTTGATGACGATCCCTGCAGCTATCACGGTTTGAATCTTATCCAAATCAAAAATCTCAACGGTGATTAAGGTTTTTATTACAAAATTTGATTTGATTGTGTATACTTCAATCGCCTTCTTAACTGCAGTTTTTCCGCGCTACCTGTGTGTTATTGGTTATCCTGCTCTTATTTTTCTCATATATTTCAAAGTCCCTTTATGCTCTGTTGGCTATTTAAACATTCAGTTCCGCATTCATTTCCGCTCAACCAATTATTTTTATTTATGATGAAACTGGCAAATAAAGATCACTCTTTATCGGTAATATAAAATAATTATATAA